CATCCAACGTACTGGAAACCTTTTTTTCTAAATAGTTGACCGAAGACTGACAAATATATTAAATGCAAGAATTTCAATCTAAATGTGTTGGCAAGATCTTCTGAAGGCGTAAATTTTGCTACTGAAGTGTCGCTAAAGATCTTGCAATATTCATCCACTCTCTGCACAGTGGCATCCAGTTATGGTGGATGCCCCTTTATGAAAAAAGCAAAAGAAGTGGAGCAAGTCCGAGCTTCTGGGAAACTATCTTACCGTGATGCTTTACAGGTTGTTCGGTCAGCTAAAAGTCCCACATGGACAGACCAAAGAACTTCGGAGGGAGTGACTGCTGACCCAGAGCCCTGCCGAGTTTCCAGCCCAAGCCTCCCAGAACTTTAGTACCACACCTCGGTGCCTGGCATCAGGGATGACCCCAGCCGACAACACCCCAACCCAAAAAGCAGAGGTGGGAACCCAAACTTCTCAGGATAATGCATATTCTAATGGTCAGGAAGCTCTCCAGCGTGAGGAAATTTAAAAAATTGTTGTCTTAGTCCTTAAAATTGTGCTGAATATGCAGACACCATCTGGAAAAATTATGTGTGAGCCGGGCAACTTGATAAATGTAGTCAATGCAGCATTAGACTCAAGCCCAAACGAGGCTGAGTACTCCCAACAGAGTAGTGAGCAGGAGAACCTTTCACCAACTCCAATAAATGCGGAGTCCTCTCCTGCCTCTAGGAAGAAGAAAACTAAACAGAAATCTAAAGATCCAAGTTTTTATGATAGGAGTCAGAGCACCTCTATCCAGGAAATTGAGAGGGTCACTCGCAGTGTGGGACTTGAAGGTGCTAGATCAAGTACTGGGGATGTAAGTAGGGGCAACCCATCTGGTAGGGGCTCAGAGGGAGGTAAAGCTCTCTCTCACTTTGTTGGTATTGGATCAAGAGGGATCAAGGGATGCCAGAAATCAGCCAAATGACTGAGGAGGCCCTTAGGATTCTAGCCTGGAATTGTCGCAGTCTATATACCAAACTATCTTGCTTCAAGGTCAGGCTGTATTCCTCTAAACCGCATGTGGTGTGTCTGTGCGAAACTTGGCTTAAGGAATCTCGAGAGCCATCATTTATAAACTATACTGCGTTTTACAGGCATAGGCAGGACAGGCCTGGTGGGGGTCTAGCCATACTGGTAAGAAATGATGTGAATTGTACAATCTCCCCCTGATAACTTATGTAAATGGTGAGCTGGACATCCAGGCTGTTAAAATATACAGGCGCAACTCTAGTATCACAATACTTAACATTTATAACCCAAATGCATTAATTTCCAGTGCAGAATTTTGCTCATATTTTCAGCAGCTAACTCCATCTTGTGTAGTGGTTGGGGACTTCAATGCCCACCATCATATGTGGGATACGAGAACACACAGCAATAGGACAGGTGTCAATCTAGTTAATAGCTTGGCAGAGTTCCCAAACATTTTTTTGATAACACCTCGCTCCCTACCTACCTATTTCCATGTCCAAACAGGCAACTTTTCCACACTTGACCTGTGTTTTGTGTCCACAGATTTGGTACCCAGTGCCAATGTGGTGCTGGAGGATGAGATGGGGAGTGACCATGAGCCGGTGCTCATTACACTTAACTATAACCCTGCCATAACAACATTCAGAGCTAGGCCAAGGTGGATTTTTAAACCCGAGAGCTATGGAGGATGAGATGGGGAGCAACCATGAGCTGGTGCTCATTACACTTAACTATAACCCTGCCATAACAACTTTCAGAGCTAGGCCAAGGTGGATTTTTAAACCCGAGAGCTGGGGAACATAGAAGGCAGCCTTGGGACCTGCCCAGAGAAGCAGAGATTTTGGAGAGGAGGTGACAACTTTTACAACAAGGCTGATTGAAACGTCTAAAAGTGTGTTCAGAAAGACCTGGGAAGTAGTGACTCCGAAATACTTGAAGCCATGGTGGAATGAGACCTGTGCTGCTCTTGTCAAACAAAGACATGCTGCCAGAAATAAGTTAAAGAACCACCCCATACTGGCCAACCTGATAGCACTCCGGAGAGCAGAGGCACTTGTGAAGCAAGGAATCAAGAAATCAAAAAAAAAGTCCTTCAAAAACTTCATTTCAGGAATTTCCAGTTTACCCCAGTGACCAAGGTATGGAAAAGAATTGGGAAACTGTCGAATAAACAAGCAGTCCAGCGTGCTACCCCACTCTTTTGCAATCAACAATATATTACAGATCCTATTCATAAAGCAAACATAATGGCCAAGCAATATGCAAGCTTGGTGGGTGCAGCAGGCCTGAGAGGTTCTCACCCTGCTGGGGAGTCCTTTATACTCCCTGTAGCTGTGGCTGTAAGTGAGGAGCATCCTGCTGCATATAATGATTCATTCTCATTGTATGAACTGCGGCAGGCTTTGAAGGTATTGAATAGGTCATCCTCAGGCCATGACATGGTGCATAATGAAATGTTAAAGCACCTCTCACAAGACTATGAAGACTGGCTCCTGGATTTATTAAACTACAGCTACAAGAATGGGTAGATACCTACCACGTGGAGACATGCCACCATCATACCCATACTTAAACCTGGAAAGTCCCCCAGTGACCTAGCATCATATCGCCCAATTTCGCTCCTGCCTTGCATTCCAAAATTATTAGAGCGACTTATTAGCTCACGGCTGACATACGTTCTGGAGACCTCGGGGAGTCTGAGCCCCACCCAGAGTGGTTTCAGGCGTTGTCTTTGTGCTTTGGATCAGGTCGCTAGATTGGAAATGTGCATCCGACACATCTTGAGCAGGAGGCAGGTATGTGCAGCAGTATTCTTTGACCTATCCAATGTCTATGACTGTGTATGGCACCTAGGGCTGCTGTACAAACTTCAGAAGATTGGCATAAGAGGACGAATGTTGTCATGGATCAATGCATACCTGAACTCACGCACCTTTAAGGTATTCTTTGAAGGTGCTTATTCCGACGAGCTCCTCATTTTGTCAGGGGTCCCTCAGGGATCAGTCCTTTCTCCCACCCTGTTCAATATCATGATATCAGATTTTCCCCGTGTGCCAGAAGTGAAAATCTCAGAATACAGATGACTTAGCAGTATACTCCAGTGGTGTTCTAGTGAGACACGTTGAGGAAAAACTTTAATCCCAGGTGAGCCAGCTCCATGAATGGATGCTCAAGTGGGGATTCTCTGTTAACCCTGCTTAAACCAAGGGTATGATTTTCACTATGAAATCAATAACAAACCCTGTAATCAAGGTAGGACCTGAACAAATTGAGTTTGTCAATCATCATAAGTTCCTGGGTATGATGCTGGATGCTCCTGGCTTGATGTGACGTGACCATCTGCAGTACCTTCGAGACAAGTGCATCTCACGAGTCAACTTGATGCAGTTGATGTCGACTCATGGGTTGGGGGCTGATAGAGAAATGATGTTAAACTTTTATAAATCAGTGATCAGAGCCACAATAGATTATGGCGCAATATTTTACTCTACTGCGCCAAGACAAACCTGCAGAAGTTGAACGCTATCCAAAACCGGTGCCTACGAATAGCAATTGGAGCCTGGAAAACATCACCCATAATATCCTTGGAAGTAGTTTGAGATTTTTTGGATGAATTGCTGAATTACCTTGGCATACAGCTATTTCTAATGAACTGGTATATACAAACCCAGCACCAAGAGGACTGCCATGGGTGGGCAACATCCTTGTTCCCCCATTGAAAAGCCGGATACCGGTGTACTCGAACCTATTGGGAGTGAAGCCTCCTGCAGGCAATGCTGCTCTGCTGGTGTCACCCATCCCTCCATGGGTGGACCTGAATGATATGATTTGCATTGACTTTCTCCCTATGCCAGTTAAGGAAATAACAGAAAACGTGGCACAAGCTACCTTCAAGGACCTGCAAGCAACCCGATATGCGGGTTACATGGAGGTATTCACTGATGGCTCAAGACTGGAGCATCCAGAGGTGTCAGCAGCAGCATCCGTGGTGGTACGGTACCCCAATTCAGTAAGTAGCTTTTTAACTGGAAGCTGCCTCCGCAAACAAGCATTTTGGGATGTGAACTGTTTGCTATACTTAAAGCCTTACAATTTCTCCTGAGCAACTTTAGGCCAACAGCAGGTGCAGTCATTTACTCAGACTCCTTGTCCAGCTTATCCTTGATACAATCTTTGCGCCCTAAATCCTACCTTCATGTGTCTTTGAAATTCATAGGTTAATACATCAGATTGCACAACAATGTCCCCTCTATATTCAATTCACACCAGGTCACAAGAATATTGAGGGGAACAATCTGGTGGATCTGGCAGCTAAAGCTGGGCACGGTCAGGAGGATGTCACATCAGATCCATGGTTGGGCAGGGAAGACATGGTAAGAGAAGTCAAGTTATCACTTTTTAAGGTCTGGGAGAGTAACTGGCTCCAAGAAGTAGAAACCTCCAATAAGGGAAGGCACTTAATTTCAGTAAAGAGCCATGTAAAATACTGGCCATGGACATTATGGTGCCATAGAAACTTGGAAACAGTGTTAGCCCAACTACGGATTGGGCACATTGGTGTGAAGGAACACTTGCACCGTTTCAGACTAGCAGAGACTAGCCTATGCCAATGTGGAAGTATAGACTCAATTGTTCACTACTTGTTACAGTGTCCACTTTTTGCAATTGCATGGACTGAGCTACAAATAACACTGCATGGGCTTGGAGTCCCAATAATGGTTAAAAACTTATGCGGTGGTGGTGACTTTACCCCACAAATACAATTCATGATAGTTGAAGCCTTCTCTAAGTACTTTCTCAGCTGGCCAATGCCAGCTCCAGGCCAATGCTGGCCTGGACCATCTGGCCAATGCTCCCTGTCTGGGTAGGCCCTCCCGATAGGTAAGGGTGACTAATATTGCTCGATCTACTAATCTAATTTGAAGTAGCTTGTTGAACTAACAAAACAACCTTAAAGTTTTCAAAAGTCTAATCTGGCCTTTTATCCACAGGCCGCTCCAGTCTGGCCATTGCTGACCATCCAGACATGAGGCGGGCGGTGAACAACTGAGTCCTCATAAAAACGGAGCCGAAGAAGAGAAGAAGATCAACCCCAGCAAGTGAGGGAAGTGGAAAGAAACCTTTGGTTCAGCTCAAATTCTCAAAAGAAGGTGATTTTGATAAGGATGTGGAGTAATTCACATCATTGCTGACACAAGCTGCTGAAGCTGTATTCAAGAGATACCATGAGTTGGTAATTCCTACAATTTATAAAAAATTTCAAAGTTATATGCCACAATTCTTTTTAATTGAGTATTGTCACTAATATGTCTTATATTGAAATTGTGTGTTAGTTATTATTATCCTACCAATATGAATGATGAATCCAGTTATTTTTGGATTATGTATCCATTACTCTAAACAAAATGCTAAATTTAGCAGTTTAATTCAATAAACCATTATTTAATTCATAAAATGAAAACTAGAAAAGTGGACAATTCAGAAAAATTCATAAAATATATCACAGATGAACAAAAAGAAGAATGCACTGTTATAGGATACTAATAAGGATAGCACCATTTGGATTTGGAATGTAATACTTTGGACGACAATTTACGTGACTCATGGTTATGGTGAGTAGGTGGTTCTGACTTCTACAGTTCTACCCATTCTTTGAAGTTTGATGATAAATATTTTATTGAAATCAATTTACATAAATAGTTATAATTAGCAAAATTATATAACAACAAACCAGTGAAATGTCCAAGAGGCTGGGGTCCAAGCTCTAAGCTTAACACAGGAGAAAAGAACAAAGGAATGCAGCATTGCAGCTTCAATATCAAGTATTGACTGACAGCTCTGAAACAAACAATGCTCCGAGCTCTAGCACTAAGCCATAATGTAGCCTAGATGAGGTTTCTTTACTGTAACTCCTGCAAATCATCACTGACAAAGAGATGTCTGACATGGCTAAACCATCACCAGTGCTAGGAGCCCTGTCCTGTTCTCAGATGACTGTGAAGTACAGGAAGGCTACAGTAAAAATCCAGCAGACCTAGATGGGGATGGTGAACACCATCTAGGAGTATAACCATACCAAGCTCAATGTCTAGAAATGTTCTTAATATGCCATCCTCAAAATTCCATCCAAAAAAGAAATAAAAGTTGTTTAATGAAACTGTCACAGCCTTTGCAACAAACTCAGAAATTTCAAACTGCACCAATGCAACAACAAGCCATACCTATTATAATGGAGACTTGACTTTCTCCATCATATGAACCTAACTTTATCAATTATACTGCCGTATATAAGCATAGAGATGCTGGGAAAGTAGGAGCTGGACTTGCCATCCTTATATTAGTTATTTACAGTGATATTCCTTTTATTGGTCTTTCATTGAATACCTAATTCCAAGGTAAACTGAAATTTCTATTCCTAACAGATTTTGTACAAGAATACAAACCTATGTCCAAATGAAACAGTGAACCAACAAGAATTTACTCACTATTTTGATCAGCTGGCACCCTATTGTATCATCCCAGGTGATTTTAACCCTTTCGTAATGGCAATGTGTTCTACAACTTTTTATTTGTATTTTTCTACAGAATCATCATGAACTTGGACCGAATATTGCATCTCTGTAAAAAATAATTAAATATATGTTAATGGGAAAAATTATATAATTGGGACTAGAAAATCCCGGTAGTATATGGTTCCAACTGAGGTGACACAATTTGCGACATCACTAATTTTGATAAAAAAAACATTTTCGTAATATTTTTTGTTAGTGGTTGAATACAGCAATCCCTTGATTAGCACGGTTTTGAATACTGCGGTTTTGATTAATGCGGAAAAAAAATTTGCGACCTACCCTTGATCTACGCGGTGCCAGTTTTGATTAGATGGCACCCTATTGTATCATCCCAGGTGATTTTAATGTTCAAAACTCCCTATGAGAGCCTGGCAAAGTTGCAAATGCTACAGGGAAAAATCTATTTGAGTCACTTCTAAGTAAAACATCTATAGCTTTACTCACCCCACCATCCTTGCCCACATATCACGACATTTATCATAATTCCTTCTCTACACTGGACCTTGCCTTCATAGCAGCAGAACTTGTTCCCCTATCCACACTCTCCACTGAGGAGGACATTGGCAGTTACCACTACCCCTGTGTTTCAATGATGTCTCCTGGTCTGCCTTGTCTGCCACTGTCCAACAGAACACCCGCCCAGAGAGCAACATTGTGGTAGGCAGCCAGAATATGACCCATGCAATAAATTCAGCAAACTCAAAGCATTTTCTTCAATCAGAAGAATTCATCACTCCACACTTTGACAAATACTGGTGAAACTAAGCTTGTGCACACACAGTGGAGGCAGAACTAGCTTCCAAGAGTTTCCTGACTTTCCTCCCAGCTCAAGCAAACGTAATTAATTTCAAGTGCAGTGAGGCATTGGGCAAGAGAGAGTTAAAATTTGCAAAAAAGGCATCCTAGGCAAAATATTGTAGCTCAATTACTTTAAATACTCCCATATCAATACTATGAAAAATAAATAAAGTGAATGTGAAATCCATATCTGATAAGAACATAACCCTTTTTTCTGAACATAAGAACATAAACTCAACAATAATTTGAGTCTGGCAACAATAATTTGGAGTCTGGCAACAATAATTTGCCAGACTCTCCAAAGCAAATGCACTTGCTTCTCAGTATAAGAGTGTTCTGTCAGCACCTGTGCCATCTCCTTACTGCAGGTTTGTAACCCTTTCATCAGAAAATGGCATTGAGTGAAGATGTTCATTTCCCTCTCAATTCTTCTCTTCAGGTACATGAATTAGGATCTAAAGAAGGGATCTAAGGATCTAACAGAAGGGGAGTTCACTCTGGAGACCTTCAAAAGATGACTAAAGGTGTTCCTAACTGCCTGGGCACAATCCCTGATTGACTGCCCCTGAACCAATACCAATGGTGAAAAGCAAGCAACAGTATATCGTGCATCAGCTGGCCCAAATGAGTTCGGATGATCGATAATCAGAGGCGGCAATCCATCATGGCCAGGGATGTCCAAAACAGAAACTAAGTAACATTGAGGAGCACATCTGGCAATGACTGGGTTCCCAACCAACCTCTCACTCATGTCCCTGTATAGTTCTGTATGTGGCTGCTGGAGATATTCAATCCAATATTTTGGAAGGAGGCTGCAATCATTTCCATAGCTAAACCAAGCAAACCACTGACATGCACCTCTCCCTGCAGACCTATCTCCCTGCTGTCCTGCATTGGAAAGCAATGGAAAAGAAATGTCTTGCATTCTCCCTTGGGCAGAATCAGGCCCTATTCCCTTGCCAAGCCAGATTTTGTTGCTGAATGTTGGCAATTGATTAAGTGGCCAGACTGGAAGCTGCCATCCATCATTCCCTCTACACAAAGTTTGTATGGCAAATCTGTTCTGTTGATCCGAGTAATGCTTTGACAGGGTGTGGCACACAGGTTTCCTGTAAAAGCTCAGTTACAGTGGAGTGCAGGGCTCCCTCTTAGGGTGGTTTTGTGCCTATATGAGTGAAAGTATTCTTCCAGTATACCAATCAAATCTGAGGTGCCACCAGCAGCAATACTTTCCCCCACCTTGTTCAATGTTGATGAGAGATGTGCCCCCAACACCTGGAGTCTCAGCTGCTGAGTATGCTGATGACATCACTTTTTTTGTGAGTAACCTAAACATCCAAACAGCCACCAATCAACTTCAAGACCAAATGAACTTATTTGGTTTATGGACACTCAGTTTTGGCCTTGAATTAAACTTAGACAAAACCAAAATTATGTGCTTCCCCACCAAGAAGTCCACCCTCTCCCCATCCAAGCAAGTGGACATAACCTTTGGCTTTGTACAAGCTGCACCTTGCCTCAATTAGAAGCCTCACATTGAGATGTTGAGAACATCATGCTTGCCAATCCTTAATCATCTCAAATCCATATTCAATGTGCATTGGGGTGAATATTCTCCTACTCATTTAAAGCTATACAAAATCCTACTTTGTTGCAAACTTGACTATGCCTCTCCCTTCTATGCATCTGCTGCTCAGAACAAAATCTGCTGCTCATCTGCTGCTTGAACAAAATGTTCTTCATAACAGCAGTGTCAGATTTGCTACTGGATGCCAAAAAACTACTCCAATCATTACTTTAGAAATTGAAACCAATATACCATCTCTTAAAATCCATCGAGACCAGTCAATGTGCAAATACTAACCCCGATTATAACAACTACCTGCATGCTCTGCCACTAATGAGCTCTTTGCCAGGCACTCCTGCCCAGAGACCAGAGAATTCATACTACTGCTCCTTCATCCCACATGCCAGGATAATATTCAATTGCATTAGCCTCTCGTGTCCACGCTTTGCACCCTCCTCTTGGATTTTGCTACAGCCTCCATGGTTCAATGTTGACTACAATATTTTCATCAAGTTCAACACTTTCCCTAATTAATCTATCATTCTATCTCAACTGCTGCCATAACTCAACTGTTTCATGATCTTTCCCAAACTAAGCATGCTAACTGCATTGATGCTTACACAGAATTGTTGCAAATAGAAGAACCAGCTTCTTTTACATCTGCTGCTCTGGTTATCCATCCAAAGAAGTGTGTCTCAACTGGAAGCTCCATCAAGAGGTACAGGTTCTGGAGTCAGAACTCTACCATACTTCAGGCTCTCACATGGGCCCAAAATAATCTCATGTTGAGTGAAAATCTTGTTATTTTTACTGACTCACAAAGCTCTCTGTTTCATATTAAAGATAGAAAACCTGAACATTATTTACTTTCTGTGTTTGAAATCTCCATAAATTCCTCCCATGCAATAAAGCTCCAGTTAATCCTTGGCCGCTGTGAAATACCTGAAAATAAAGCAGCTGATCATGCTGCCTGAGATGCCCATACCCTTTGCTGCTGCACAATAACTTCCCTTAGTGTGGAAGACCTGGTAAGGTCAACAGATGATACTATTTCTGTTAGTTGGTGCGCATCATGGCACCAGGAAATAAGAAGTTTGCGAAGGAGCTCTTACTTGCTCATGTTAAAGACAGTCAGGGCATATGGCCATGGTCCCCCCACCCAAGTCAGGCAATTGAGACAGCTATAGCTTGCCTACATATGGGTCATGCAGGTATCCAGTTGTACTTGGCTTGTTTTGGCTTAGCCCTCAACCCTCTCTGCACCTGTAGCTCAGTGGAAACTATTTACCATCTCATTTTTGAAGGTACCAATCATACTGCTGCCCGCACTCAAATGTTGGATAAACCAATTGTACTTAATACAACCCTCAACTTGAAAAATTTCCTGGGAGTAGTTATGCTTCTTCCCATTGTTGACAAGGTCAGCAAAGTTTGAAGCCCTAGCCTTGTTCCTCCACTCTGCGCATGTTATAAAGTAAATTTAATAACCATATTTTTGTTAATGTGATAACATGTACTTTCATTAAACAAACTTCCACTTACATGTGTGGGACCTAACCCTGTAATATAAACAAATGTTTCTCTCATGACTGCCATGTGTGCTGCTCCTGATAACAGCAGCATTCTCAGCAGCCTCTTCTATTTAGATATTTTGGTTCTGTCCATCTGCCTCATGTATGAAATACTACTGATTCCAACCTTTTATCTCAAGATTCCTTCCTGCACCTCGCGCAAGATTCCTTCAGAACCCTGCCTGCAGGATTCATTGTTTTGACATTTATTGATAACTTGAGTAAATCCTATTTTGTTGCTGTATTGGCATTAAGAAAGTTCCAGGCTGTGCTGCCCAGACAACCTTTACATTAGTATCAGGATACTCGTGTGAGGCACATTATAGGGCATGTTCCAGTTACTAACCTTGGGTAGTTGAAACTAATTCAAATTTGACTTTAGTCATGACAACCAAATGGTTTAATTCAGCATGGGCAATAAATTATTTTATTTAGACTTTACTATATTGTTTGGAGAACAGTCTTTTGTGTCATTTGTCCTCCCACAGCTGCACAGGTCCCTACCTGTGGGAGGACAAAAATACCTATATGCTGTTCCAAGAATTCTCTAGTATGTAATTTCATTTATTTTTCTTTTGTACCTCAATAACTCATAATGCCCTGTCTTGTACTATGTTCCTTCATGTTATTTTTATTTGAGATTATTTTGTTTTTATTTATTTATTAATTTTTGTATGTTCCAGGCTGTCAACTTTGATGCTGGGGAATCAACAAAAACCCTGTACTGTCAAGGGGCCAAATGGACCAGTGCTCCTATAAGAAGTAACAAAGAAAGAAAAGCTGTTCTTGCCTTATCTTGCATTAGTTTTGTATTGATTCTCAGCACTAACAAAAGTAGCACATGCCACAATGGCAAATCGTACAGTTAAGGATGCAGCGGCCATACACGGCACCAATCCTCAGTATTTGGTAGAAAAAATTATAAGAACCCGTATTTATGATTCTAAATACTGGAAAGAAGAATGCTTTGCCCTCACAGGTTAGTAATTTTTCTGACACAAAGCTTTTAATATATCATTATTATGATGAACAATCTCGATTCCACTAGACTGTAAGTAATATTCCTGGGTCCCAAGAGTGAGTGTCTGAATGGGTGTCTTAATATCTTTATTAACGCATTAGCTTTAAGTTACTTGTCTTCAGGAGATCTTGCTGACACATTTTACTTTAAGGCTCTAAGTACCTCGATTTAGGTAAGTTTTGTCCTAACATTTTTCATTTTTCAAAATTAATTAGGAAATGAATTTCTTACCCAGTTTGGATTACTAGATAGAAGTTCTTAGAATTGCAGACAAAAATAATTGTTTTGTTGGGAGCAATTTTAGAAATTTGTAGAAAAAAATAGGCAGTTTTCTTATTTTTTTATTGAAGAAATTGGATAATGCCTTTGAAATGGGTCAATTTAGCCAGATTTTTGGCTTTTTGTCTAATTCTCTAGTTGATTTTGCCAAATTTTCCATGTAGGCCTTTTACCATGTAGTGACTAGGTAAAAATGTAAGAAATCATTAGTATCACTATCAAAGAATTAAACAAATAAATTACCGGTATGATTTTTATCTTCAAGACTTCCATTCTGAAAAATAGGGCTAAACTCAACCAAGTTGGAATATTGAGCAGAAGTTTCCATAAATTCCAGGTTAATATGATTGTTTTACAGATTTTTGAAAATTGCAGGAATAAATAGGCTGCTTTTCTTATTTCAGACAGGAGGAGAAATTGGGAAAAGAACTATGGGAATGGGTGAAATGAACCAGATTCACAGGAGTTTTTACCCAATTCATGGGTGGCTTCTGCCCAATTTTCAATTTTACAAAGCCACCTGTTAATGAGACCAAAATTTGCAGTCAATTCCACCAATTTTTATGGCTCTTGCTCAGTTTTAGTTAGTTAGAAAACTCAGTTAGTTTTCTTAAAAAAATAAAACTAACACATTTTTGCCTGCAATTTAAGAAAAACTTTCTGTAAAATTTCAATTGATAGTTTTTAGCTATGATTTCTGTAAAATTCTGCCATTTATTCCAGATTGGCAAAACGCCATCAATGTCAGTCAAAAAAGTGGACTAAGATATAGCCATTCAACTTTCAAGCAGCCTTTTGCTTATTGCCACATTGTCTTTCCTTTTTAAAATTGGTGTAATATTTATATTTAATAATATATATTTTTAATTGTTAAAATTATTTGGATTTTTGAATATTCACAAATATTGCTTTATAATCTGCAAATTAGATCAAAGTAGTTCATGGTGCAAAACACAGCTGTGCACCTGCACTATATTATCTTTTTTGTGCCCATCATTAGATCCTTTGCCTCTTCTGGCAGAGCCATGAAATTTGATGAGCATGTACAAAAAACTATAATATTATTACAATGCTTTGTTTCATTACTCAAGGTAGACTTTAGACAACAACCATGTTTTTAAACTAACTTTGTGCCAACACTTGCAGTATGCAATCAATCAGGTGAAAAATCTTTAGGAAACAAAATAATTTGAGATTCATTTGTTTCCACACAACAGTTTACCAATTAAAGCTATCAGTTTAGCGTGGAGTTTGGCACAAAATGCTGACCACGTGTCCGATTCAACATTTGCCAGTCCCCCATTTTACTGTTACTGTTTTGTTGTACTGTACTCTGCGCATGCTTTTTGCACGTACCTACTCCATCAGAGGCATGGAATAAAGTTATCTACTTTTTAAGCCACAACCAGAGCTTCCATGTCATTTTTGGAGCTGCGAGATTCCTGCTAATGAATTATTGTAAAAATTAAGGAAAATTAATACATTCCAACTCTATGCTAATATCTCTTGGCTTTGAAAAATGACATTCTTTGTTAACTTTGGAATGTCATGGCTCAATCATCCATATTTCTCAATAATTAGAGGAGATAATTAGATCTGAGGAATCTTGCAGCTCTTGAAAGGGCAGGAAAACTCTAATTGTGGCTTGTAAAATATTTTATGCCTGTATCACTCTGTTAAATTAATAAGTGATGTGGAACAAGTGGCATTGAACAAATGTTTGGTCACTAATTCCCAAACATGCACATCCTTGCAATGCATGTGTGTGATAGTACACCTCAACTGCTGCAATCCACTCTGCAGTGTTTGTCTGTTGTATTGCTAGGATCAGGTTGTTGGTCCAAATACAGGTAAATTCTGTTACGGTAATATCCTAATTACATACATTTGCAGTTAACATAATTTAGGCAGAAGAGAGTTTTTGTTCACTCATTAACCAATGACTTTATTGTTAGCTGGTTGCTCTGAGGTATTTAATTTCCCAGAATTATCACTAAGCAAATTTGTACATCATTTAGCATTGTAATAATTGCAGTTCTTTGAACATGCAGTTCGAAATAGCTGACTATGTTTCTAGCTATTGCACAATTATGAATTCTCTTGTGCAGATATTTGAAAAATTCTAAATTCTTTAGAAGTAGAAGGAATTAGTTATAGATTAATGCTAGTTTAAAAAAATATTTTGCCTATGTTTGTATTATACCATGTATCATTCTGATAGTTGATACAGAAGTGGGCCAATCAAGCTACACTGCTGTTGTTTTGAAGTGACTTATTTTAATGTTTTGTTGCAGCCGAGTTGCTGGTAGACAAAGCCATGAATTTGCGGTACATCGGAGGTGTTTACGGTGGTAACATCAAGCCTTCACCTTTCCTATGCCTCACCCTCAAAATGCTGCAAATTCAACCAGAAAAAGATATCATCATTGAGTTCATCAAACAAGATGAGTTCAAGTAAGTGTTTGTATTTAATTGTTCTTCAACAGAGATGTTTTTTTACTGTCATGCAGTCATTAGTGAATTTCCATATCCTTACGTCTTGTATACTCTTCTGGGGTCATCAAAATAGCAGATGTCTCAATTTTGATGCCAATTTTTAGTCTGGTGGTAATTTTTATCCTTGATATTTTACAAACTTGATACAATTGGTAGAATAGTTCCCAATTGATATTTAAAATGTACATCATGTTGTAGTACCATTCGCCTGATATTTGGCCAGGAATTGACTTCATATCCAAACCTTGTATCTAGTGCAAGAGTATCCGGCAAACTACCTATTCAGTTTAATCTGCTTGCCAATATATAACTAATGCACCTGCATTATCATCTTCATTATCATCTTCATTATCATCTTCATTATAACCACTGTACATAATTTTTGAGTGCTAACTAATGTTGTAGATATGTTCGCGCTCTCGGCTGCTTCTACATGCGTCTTGTACACTCATCACTGGACTGCTACAAGTACCTCAGCCCGCTGCTCAATGACTACCGCAAGCTGCGCCTCATGGACCGAGCAGGCGTCTTCCATCTCTCACATATGGACTCCTTTGTTGACATTCTCCTGAGGGAGGATAGGTTTTGTGACATCATCATGCCTAGGATACAGAAGAGGTCAGTGCTAATTAAAAAAAAAACTTTCAGTAAAATATAGATGATATAGGTATATGTCTTAGCTTTGTGATATTTTGACCTCTGCTGCTACTAGAAATTACCATATGTTCGAAAATCTTAAGGACATTTGTTACTCGAAGGAATGCTCTTACACCTGCGCTCCTAACACTCAGCCGTCAACAACTCATTGCTCATTCCCTCCCCAGATGGGTGCATGAGGCCAACAACGAACTAGAGCCCCGAGTGTCATTGCTGGAGGATGACCTCGATGATCTTGAGAGCGAGAGCGAAGACGATGAAGAAACGGCCTTGCCCCCTTCACCACCCCTTCCCCCGTCACCCCACCACAGGTGTGTGTGTTCTTCTTACCTCTTTGCTTAATTTATGTTTAATATGCTGCGCCGCGTCTTCGTATTTCTTCAACTTATTTCCACGTTGCCACAATAATCTTGTCATCTCTTAACCCTAATCGCCTCAGCTTATCGTGTGACGCGACAACCTCGTGGGCAATGATTTCTGCCCTCCTTTCTGAGAGCACAATGAATTGAAAAATAAAACCGAGTGGATAAAATTTAGCCTAGTTTGGGATCCACGGATTTAAAGTGCAGGAAGAGTAATTATTACTCACGTGTTTGGTTGGTGATCAAAATGGCTGCAATTCAGGGCCATCCGCATTGACCTGAAGTCTAATTCAAAATTAATTTATACCCCTTGCTTAACATGTTTGTGCTGTTGACATTGAAACAACGTCTATTGTGAGTTGATGTTACTGTAACTTCTTCAATCAACATTATTTTAACGTTAGCATGCCTAATAACATTTATATTGTCCTCGAGCATCATGTTGATGATGACGTGCTGGGCAGGAGTGAGCGGGGCCGCCACATGTCGCCTGGTGGGGGCGTACGTGACAAGCGCAGGGCGTCGCGGTCTCCGTCCCCAGACTCCCACAAGCGCAGGAGGGAGCGAGAGGGACGCTCCACCAGGGACTCCAGGAGACATCGAGACTCAGGTGTGTACCTGGCGTGTACCAGGCGTGTACCTCGCGTATACCAGGTGTGTACCTCGCGTGTACCAGGCGTGTACCTCGCGTGTACCAGGCGTGTACCTCGCGTGTACCAGATGTGTACCAGTAGCGTTCCAGTTGTGTTAGAACTCTCATACTAAAGTGGTCTTTCAGGAATACTTGCTACTACCTCACCGGCTATACTCTAATTATTTTACCTTACTTCTCGAAAGCTTGGTATTTTTCATCAACTTTCCATGTTATTTATATTGTTCGTGAAATGTATTCCCGGTTAATATTGTAAGAAGATTAAAATTAGCTTCTTACAATTTGCCAGTTATATTATTCTATTGTTCTTAAATAACTAATTGTGCATGAAACGTCCTTCTCGATTACACGTTTCTGTCACCAGGTCGCGGCGAGAGAGACCGCGGCAACCACAACGCAGGCTACCCACCTGAACCCTACCATGACTACCACCACGGCAACCAGCACGACTTCCACGGCACGTTGGGCACGTCTACAGACTACCATCACAGGTGACGTTCACGTGCAACCTGCATCTACCAAGCATCTTTGAGCATCTCCGTGAATTGATGTTGTTATAAGCTGTATAATATAATTATTATTATTATTGATGTTCTCCATCCCTCGAACAAATCTTAATTTCACTCTTAATGAATGTTAAGAATAAAAGGTCTGATTAAGGATTCCAATACTTCCGGAATTAATTCATTTTTTTAATTTTACCCTTACTTTGGCACCCCTAGTAAATGCCTTTTTCCATTGCACTGCGGTTTTTTCTGATGAGTGCTTACTATTGAGTAAATATCACTCTGTATAATGTTATAATCGGATGTTAAAATTACATATGACGGAAAAATCATACCATTTTCTTCTTCAGGCGTCCTCACCACCACAGCAATGGGGCCCCGCCTCCAGGTTTCGGTGGCAGCGATTACCACCACCGCGGTGGTGCGAGTGACTACTACAACCAGCACCACTACCAAGAAGACCACCACATGCACCAGCGCGCACCGGAGACTCACCATCATCGCGACAAGGAGAGGCGGAGGGAGAAGGACCACAAGCAGGACCACAAGCGAGGGAAAGAGGATACCAGGAGGGGGGATGAGGGAGGGCGCCGAGGGGAAGACCGTAAGAAAGAGAAGAGGAAGGAGGGGCGGCGACGTGGGGATGACGGAGGGGGAGGCGGAGGACTACAGGCGGAGATTGATGAGGCTAATGCCCTCAGAGCCCAGCTTGGTCTGCCTCCTCTTAAATAGAGGGGTTAGGATGCCATCTATTGAATAGAGGGGTTATGATGCCATCTGTTGAATAGAGGGGTTACGATGCCATCTATTGAATAGAAGGGTTACGGTGCCTCTTTCAGTAGTGTGAGTAGTGCATGCAAGGCAATGCACGCTGCGTATCCCTTCATCCAATGCAGTCGTCGCGTACTGTCAGCCCCTTGCAGGTAATGCTGCGTCTCTCGCTATTTTCTCATCACGTGGAGTTTTTTTAATAACTCGTGTATGAAACGTCATTCTTGACTCCATTTTTCTGTCACCAGGTCGCGTTGAGAGAAACCGTGGCAACCACATAGTGTACCCGTCCTTCCTTGTCTACTATGGTAGTGCCCCCTTCTAGAAGAACATTGTTGTCATTGACCAGTACAAGAATGACAATATTAAAATTTTATCCCTTTAGAAGCACTTTAACAATTCAGGTAGGAATAAAGTTATGAGGAAATAGTTCAGTCGCAAGGGAATGAGGGCTTCATGGGTTGATGGCAAGATCGGGTGTCATGCGATGGCTTGTGTCCGACTGTACCAAGCTAACCTAAAATATTTCATTATTAACTATCCATGCGATTAAATATAAGTGACTATTTCTTTCGTCATTTATTACCTTCTGCTGCGGTTAATGGTAATTAATAAACGTATTTACGTTTGATAGGAAAAATATACGAACGAATAATGTGCGGTAAAAGGTTACTGAAGTAGTTTTCGTTCCCGTGAATATTGATCGGCCGGCAAACACACATCCTCAAAACGATAATTTTCCACTCAAAATTTAATTGCTTTTCGTTTTCTGACCAGTTTTGTGAACACAAATTATTTACTGAAACTTTGATGAGGCATTGCCTTGTTTTTAGGGTGAAAATACATCAGGAAATATTTGATGTTTATAAAAGAATTTTTGGCGTTAGCTACCAGCATTGAAATTTTAGGTACAACAGATTGATAGTAAGAGATAATCGCCAACGTTTAGTATGAACTCAGAAAACGAAGTGTCGATGTTGCTTTGTCACAAATTAGTTTTTAATTTTCTTGCATTGGCTGGTTACGGCTTGAATAATTCGGGCGAAAGTTCTTGAAGGCCAGCAGTAGTTTGTTCGTTGGAAGTTTGTTTTATTAAATTGCAAAGTTAGGTCAAAAATTCCTTCTATTTTAATTGCTGCGCTTCTGACAAAATTGTCTGATATTTTATTAAAGTGTTCAATATTGGCCAGTTTTTCTGAAACTTCTTGAATAACGACATCTCTGGACCCTTTGTAGGACCTAGAAAACGTACCATAACGGCCACCATCATTCGTTGCAGCACATAGGGTCGGCATGTCGGCCGCAAATGCTCTTCTTGCAATTCAGGCTCCATTCAAACTACCAGTGTTTGTTGCTGTTGTTTCTAAGCCCATTGCCTTGATTTGATTGCAAATCCTCATGAAGTATACAAGTATACTCATGGTTTATACAAGGCCCTCGAATGATTACTAGAATTTGAAACAAGAACCAACACCAGGGGCCACGGCTATAAGCTAAAAAAACCTGTGCTGCAACTTCTCCACGCAACAAAATTTCTTCTCGCTTCGAATCGCCGACATGTGGAACAGCCTCCCCAATGACATCGCGTTGGCGCTCCGAGTATGAACGCGTTCGAGAACAGACTAGATAAAGCTACGGAAAAATATATGTTCAGATTTGAAATGCCTAGCACCATATTGCACCCGGTGGAAGTCTAGTAGCTATTTCAAACTATCGTCAGTCTTGAAAAGATCTGGTCAAATGACGTGATTTTTGATCTTCTGTGAACAAGGCACGAAAAGGAAAAGAATCGGTGACAGCCACATCAGGCCTACACTTCAGCGCCGAGATCACTATGTTATGTTATGTCATTGAAGCTTCATAAACAGCCAAGGCTGTCGCATGAGCTGTTCCCGATGTTATATTTGAAGCTGATAATATTTGATAGACTCCTTCGTCGCATAAAAGAATTAGAAGATATTTACAGTTAATTTTTCACTGTAAATTAGTAATGATTTTCCTTGCAGGTGCAATCGAGGAACCGATGTAGGGCAGCAGTTGGAATGAATTCAACATTTAAGCCTTCTGTAATATTCAGGTGACGCCTGATTTGTTCTCGACGAGCGGAAGAATAGCCGCTCGTCGAGAATAGGCTCAGAAATTTCTATATCATATCTATAGGCCCAGTCAGCCTCCTTGTCTGGCGCGTCGTGACATTGGCTCATCACTTAACGAGCGCTCTTTCAGAGACCTTGCGATTGTAGTTTATTCTTTTTCTTGAGATATCTTTTTGCTGGCTTCTTCTGTGCTTTTATTTTTACATACCGGCTACCTTTTAGTTTTTTGTACCAATGCAATATCAACAGCATCCATTCTTTCTTAATGCTTATTTTTTCCTTTAAGAGCGACAATAAGAAACCCATGTACGAGAATATCTGTCACGGCATGAGCGGTAACGAAGGTGTCGCACAATTTATTTTTCCTATCATTCTTCTCCTGCAGTTCGTTTGAACACTTGACCTTTTTCTCAGTTTTTTCCCACACTTGCATAACTTCCTGCGCAGCAGCAGCGCTTTTCTCCCAGCTTTTGGTACTGAGACAGGCCAATCACCTCATTCTTTGACGGTAAGTTCGTCGTGCCGAGTGCTGGTGACAGTTGAGCAATGAGCCGCACATCTGTCGCCAATCTAAGAACAGGTTTAACTATCAATTCTTCAGGCTCCGTTGCGAGGATTCATATCATCATTGTCAAAATACTTGTTAAAAAAACTAAAAATGTATCAGGAGTAATGTCATAACAAGATTTCAAATGGAACTGGAGAATTATTCCGGGAAACACGATTAGTTTTCTTCAAATTAACAAGGAACATTGCTGAGGCTGAACGTCTACCGAGCTATCTTCATGCCTCACAAGGCTACATGCATCTACAAATGAACCATCATAAGGATTGTCATTTGATCTTACTAATATTCGAGTACTTTAAAGCTATGTAGCAACTTCTAAACAATATAAAATTTGTACGAAAATTCTAGACTCGTTTCCATCAGAGGAACCTAAGGACAGGGTGCCACCGTGAGAAAGCAAAATCGAATGTCGGAAAATATGCATGAGCCAAGTGTGTGTAGGGCCGTCCCGCTAACAAGGTAAGCAATACGCGATGTATGTCGGATTATTTAATTCACTCATCAAAAGGACGCAAGACCTGCAATGAGGGAAAATATTTGGCCAATTCCAATGGAGAAGAATATCCCCCCCTAAAAAAATCTATATAGGTTCAAGAACATTTGGGCTTATGAGCAAACAACAAAATTTGTTTCAATAAATAAGAAGCAAACGCGTTTAAGTAGAGAAAGCAAACCCCAGAAAAGCTACGATAAGGAAGACGGCAAGAATAGAGGATTTGGCATTCAATCCATGTTTATGAAGAGTAATTATTCAAAATAAACTTGAGAAATAACAAGACTTGCTAAATTCCACTAAACAAATAGCTTCTTCAGAAAAAAGACACGAAATTACTGCACCATGATTGGCAAAGTGATGCAGTTGTATTTAATCATCAATGCAGATTCTTGATTAATCAAGCGCTAAATTTATAATTTGAAAATTAAGCCTTTTGCGACCGCAACCAATAGCGGAACATGAAACAATAAATTCCAGTACACAGACCAGGCAATCGGCGGTCATCAATGACTCAAATCCATTGAAGTTTACGCAGCAACTAAGTTGAGTGCACGCAAAAAGCGTACGATAGTTCTAAAATAAAGTCAAAAAGTTTGTAATTACCAGGGTATGGTTAGGCTATTCCAGTAGATCCTACGGTTGCATATTTCTAGTACGATTTTAAAAATGGTTTTAGTGAAAGCAAGAGCAAGAACAACATAGTTTCTATGGTTCCTCCCATGATAAAGTTAAGCTTAAACACAGTTTTTAGAACATCAAGATTGTTATATCCGACGTGTGGTTTAAAAAAAAAATAACTTCAAAGACACCTAATCTCCTTTATGGTCATTGATTTGTTTAAAAAGTTCATCAGCGTCTTCAGAAGTCTTGACCCTGATGAGCATTGTGACCGGTTTATCTGTTCCTTCCTTGTTATCCAACGGTGGGTTGGGCACGCACACAATGAGGACGTTGTTCTTACCCATCCTCTGTGTAGGAAGAGAAGAATTCAAAACAATGTTTAGCAAAACATTGCCTAGAGCCGTTGCAGCCCGCATGATGAGCTGCGTCTTCTTGGTGTCACCGACCGTCTTCAGGAAGAGAGTCCCAACTCCCCTGTCAGCGTAGCTTCCATCTTTCTTGTAGAAAAGTTTGCACTTCTTTTCATAGAAGGAGTTCTCTTCCTTGACCTCCAGCACTTCGGGTTTGGGTGGCGTTTCTTCTTCATCTTCTTCCGTTTTGGACTCGGAGGCTATTGGTGGTACAGGTGCAAAAGTCAAGGCGCTTTTTGATCCAAAGCCAGAGAAACCAGAGCCTTCCTTAGCTCCCGAGGACAAGGCACCTCCGCCAAATGAGAATCCAGTGTTCTCTTTTGCTCCAAAATTCATTCCTGAACCTAATGAGAAACCTCCACTGCCGCTGCCAGACTTGGGAGCTACTGCTGAACCAAAGCAAAAAAGTCCAGAAGTAACTCCTTCAGGAAATGATTGCTTAGGATCTAGAGTCCTGACATTTTTATCCTTCGATTCGCTGAAAGTTACAGATGGAACAGAATTGGTTGACGTGGAAGACATGAATGAAAAAGCAGGCTTCGAGACATCTACTTTTCCAGGAACTGGATTCTCTTTCGGTTTCAAGTCAGTTCCTCCTCCAAAAGAGAACACCGGTTTTACACTATCAGTCACAGAAAACGCAGCTTCATTGGCGTTCTTTGGTGATGTTACATTAGTGGAAGATAACGAAGGAGAACTTGAGGCACTCGAAACAACGGTAGATGATGAAGCAGAAGAAGTACTTGCACTCTTCTCAAATTTAGGCATAAATTGTTTTTCTAGAGCATCAAAGTGTTTTCTGTAGTCATCAAAGACAGGATTTAAATTGATGAGACAATTGGCCGTTACGTGCTTGTGAACCCACTGCAGTACACCTTCATTCAATAACTTCAATTTCTCATGAAATACTTTGTTACTGTCTCCTTCGCTGCCAGATAACTTTTTCAATAACTCGCTGGAGCTTGCCGATCCATTGACAGAAGTTGAATTGCTTTCTAAAGGTTTAGAGTTCTCCTTGTTGCTAGTAGAAGAAGAAAAGCTGAATGTAGGTAATGTTGAAGAGCCAATGCTAGTGCTTGGTTTGAAACTAGATGCTTCAAAGAGCTTCTTCATTTCAGATTTTGGTTCACTTGAACTTTTAGCTCCAAAATCAAAAGTGGTTGCAGAGCTGCTAGCATTCGTCATGCCAGAGAAGCCAGAGAAGTTCTTGAAGACACTGGGCTTGTCACTGCCATCCGAAGTGACCAAGTCAGACCTACGCTTGGCTACTTTGATCTTGCGCCTGGCTAACTCTTCCTCAGACGCGCGCTGAAAAGCTCCATCACCAAATGCCTGAAAAAAGCCTCCTGTGAATTACAAAATAAAATATTGTGCTTGGT